GTGCTGGTCCCCAACATGATGATGTCGCTTCTGTGTGATGTCATTGCATTGTGGATCTCCCCACCCCCTCTAGTAATGCCCCCCAAAGTTCCCCAACGTGGACTTGGAATAGGCCTGCCAAATCTCGCCAAATCGCAGTGGGGGATCTGCATGTCTTTGCAGAATCCTTGCCGCGGGGACGGTGAGATGCGTTGCACCGCCGTCACCAGGACATGACGCTATGCATCGCTCTGGCAACGGGGCTGTTTGGAGCCCTGTTGCCAGAGCGACGCGTAGCGTCAGATCCTGGCGACAGCGGGTGCAATGCGTCTCGCTGTCCCCGCGGCAAAGATTCTGCAAAGACATGCAGATCCCCCGCCGCGACTTGGCAACCCTACATAGTGGGCACAGCAAAAAAAAATGGCTGCCGTGAGAGGCGGAGCCAGCCACAAAATGATTGCCAAAGCTTAACTTCAGTAATACAGTATAGACATTTTTGCTGCGGTTGCAGCTGCTGCTAAAGCAACATTTTAAAAAAAAAATCTGCACAGCCAATCAAATCTCCAATAGCCAATCAGAACCCTTGCTGGGCAAAAGCCCTACCTGGCCCCCACCCCTTCCTAAACACATTTGGGGGGCACCAGAAAAGGTGTCGGTGGGCGTCATGGCACCTACGGGCACCACGTTGGAGACCCCTGATTTAGATCTAAAGAGGTTATTTAAATACAATTCAAAGAGCCATTTTACTGCACCTGAGCATTTGGGGCATGCCTACTAGGATTTTTAAAACCCTTTTTCTTTAAACACCAGGCCTTTTCCCCATATCATAAACTCCTTTTGAAAGTTGCCTCAGTTTCAAATGCAGCTTGACACACAACTGGTGAGAACTGCAGTTCAAGAAACATCCTCCTCCTGGGGTATGTGCAACTATTTGTGTGATTCTTTGGGATCTGGCCATTGTAGGTTATTGGACTCTCGCCACTTCCCTTAGCACTGAGAAATTTCAGGTGACTGTATATACCTTGAGTGCAAGTAGAGGCCAAAAGAGGCACTACTACAAGGCAGCAGATCTGCTGCTTCATATCATACACCCAGCTTCCTCTTTTTTTGGTTTTTTAAAATGTGTGTGTGTGAGTACCTGGAAGTCATGCTGACTTCTGGTGACTGAGGGCCTGGAGGATATCCACAGACGTGGCTGAATTCCAAGGGGGTCTCTCATCCAAGTACTTGCCAGAGTTGGCCTTGCTTAGCTTCTGAGATCTGACGAGATCGGGCTTGCCTGGGCTATCCAGGTTGGGGCGTACACCCAGCTTCCTGCTCTTCATTTCATACATCCTCCTGCCTCTCCCTTCCGCTGTCACCCTCTCCTACCTCTGATCCCAATATAATTCAAACACACAAAATATAATCCAAAGCATCCTTTCTAAAACGAAACAATTTCTTAGCCACTAGTTCTCATCATTAAAACATCAGTAAATGAACTACTGTAATGTAAGTATAACAATCAGCACTCACAGCAACAGAATCTTAGTTTCAGATTCTGATGTTATGTCATATTCTGAGTGACACAGGGATGGGTATCCTGGCTTGAATACGAACAAGTCAAACACTTAGTGCGCTATGACTCACATACTCCTCCGCCGGACATGACTTTACGCCCATTTGAAGACCTTATGGCGGCTCAATTCTTACCTAACAGGGGACTGGTGTCGAAAGTTTACTGTCTTCTCAATTCTCAACTTAAAGAAGACCAGGCCGGGTACCAAACAAAATGGCATAGAGATATTGGTCAGGTGCTTATCTCTGAACAGTGGACTGTGATCTGGTCCTCTCCTCTTTGTCACTCTCGTTCCACCAATATTCAAATGTTAACTTATAAACTTCTACTTCGATGGTACTTGACTCCGCATCAGCTGCATGGCATCAACCCCGCGATTTCTGACAGGTGTTGGAAAAATTGTGGGGGCCGTGGCACCTATATTCATTGCTGGTGGGCGGGTC